CACACAACACACACACACACACACACACACACACACACACACACACACACACACACACATATATATATATATTTGAAAAGACAAAATTCATTGATATAAAAGAGATGATACAAAGGTTATAGTAAGTGGGTACAAAAAGCCTATTCAGAGGGATTACAACTTACTATGCAATCCCCAAAAATATAACACAAAGAAAACAACTCCTAATCATGGTGGGTGTAATTGGTGGATATGTCGTTTCCCCTTCCCCTGGATTTAGGGAGGAAGTCTAGCAACATACTGAGATGTGAGCTTCCGCCTGCAACTATGAGAGTCGTCCTGAGAATTACTGAGATCTAGCATTCAATTTTTATTCTTCCTAGATTTGTAAACCTGTCAATCATCTGTCAAAGGTAGTCTTATCTGAACAATAGGTGGATCTGCGATGCAGAGCTCACCATGGGGGGTCTGTTGATTCATAAACTGTTGATCTGACTCAGCCTGCAACACACCTTGATCCTGACACTCCTCTAGAGCTTGACTACTCTCTTCTCTCGTAATAGGTGGTTCCAAGACACTTCAGCTAACTTTGCTACAACAAAATTCGTAATATTTGTGATCTGAGGAAAAACTGCCTCAACAACGGTAGGCGGAAGTGTCGGCCGTTATTTTGAAAATAATGTTTTTTGTAAATGCAAAAATAATTTTAATATAAATATGTGATTAAAATAATGAGTCTCATATATTGAATAGTTTGAATGACTGAGCGTGATACGACATATAATACACTAACCTGAAGGATAAGTATTCCACATGACAATAGACTCAACCACATAAACTAAGGAGTTTGTGACATCTGTTTGGTCTGTGAAACCTTTTATGTATGACCGACAAGTTTCCCTATCTAATATAAGGATTAGATAAGGTTTATTTTACCTGGGTTTCAAGTTCCCTATAGAGGCAAGCCTCTATAGTTAATTACATCTTAAATAACCGGGGTGACTTAGGAAGACTCTCGATTAAGATCAGTGATTCTGCCTTCAAGATTTCAAAGTTTAGGTTTCCAAGATTGGACACGGGGGGAGGGGGAGTGGCTCAAATAGAAACAGTTATTTTAAGGAATCCAAAGGAATGAAAAGTAAGGAATATCACGAATCTGAGGAAAACCTGGTGACCTCCCAACTATCCTATTATTTGACTTAATTTCTTTGAAATAATGTTATTTAATGTTTAATCCTGCAATTTATTTTATAATTTAGAACTTACATTCACATGATATCTAATGGAGCAAATAGTTTATAAAGATATGAAGATTTACATTGTACCGTACGGTAACCTCGAAATCCTAAAAGTGTTAGGACTAATAATTACACAATAAGGTTGTGTAAAAAACCTAAAGATAATATGTGAGGATTCAAGTTTCGCTAAGCAAACTACCTCGAAGTTTATGAGTTGTTATTTAAACTAAGAAAAATGATTAGTTGTCGTAGGCTAGTTTTAATGTTATAGATCGTCATCCTTCGTCCGCAACGTCATGATCATGCAGCCCACAAAGAGTTGTTTCATGCTCAATGTAGTAATAGTTTCAGGTTCAGTGTTTTATATGTGAGCGTGCAATCTTGTTATTTGGTGACTTACTGTTATGTACCTCCTAAACCAGACTATATCCAAAATGTTTTGCATTTAATTTAAAGCATACATAAACTAACTATGCTATAAGGAAGTTCAGTAAATAAAAACAGTATAATGTGCGGTAAATAAAAACAGTATAAGGAAATGCAGTAAAGTGCTATAAATGTACTGTAAACTTTAGGTACCTGAGTTTCTTTGTTATTGTTGCACATGTAAATGAGATCAACGTCGCAGGTAACAATATAATAGAAAAATTCAGCTAGCAGGGCAAACATGTGTTTATGTATAACACAATAAACAGTCAGCTAGCAGGACAAACATGTGTTTATGTATAACACAATAAACAACAGAGTAGCCCATTAAAAGTCCTGAGGAAAACTGAAAGCGACCCACATAGACCCGAGAGTAGCCCATTAAAAGTCCTGAGGAAAACTGAAATCGACCCACATAGACCCGAAATAAATCGTAGGAAAAAGACAAACAAATAAAACAAAACACGTCACATATAAAGGACCAAGGGTGGGTGATTTATATGTGACATTGGGAATGTCCCCAATTGCTAGGAGGATTTGAGTGTAAGATTAAAGTTCAAATACAGTCTGGTGCATATCATGCTTATTGATTTAATTAACTTATGAATTAGGGTCAGGTGTCTAGCTTCAGTATCCATTTGAAAATTAGGTAGATGAACTCTCACTTAGGGTGTGCTCCTAAAATCTAGGAAGCTTACACTTTAACTTGAGCTTGAAGTCTTTCAGAATGTGTCTTCAATTAAGTGTTTTTCAACTAATCCTCAAACATCTTTAAATCAAATTTAGCTCACTATTAGGCTCTTAAGACCTAAGGGGTAAACCTATAATTTTGATGAAAAGATTAGTGAAATATGCTTCAATCCTAATTAAAACAATTGGTCTTAAGTCTATCCAATGCTTAGGGGTCCTAATTGATAGCCTATTGATCTCTCAATTCATGCCCCCAACTCTTAAATCATTTAAGCTCTTTCTCTCAATCTTCAACAATTCTCACAATTACAATTTTATCCTTCTTATGTAGAAGAATGGTGAATGATTTGCTACCCTA